AGTTTCTCACTTTTCGCGTTTTCGTATCAGGAAGAACATAAAGTGCGAAGAGGTATTCGGAATTCTGGCGGGAAAGTTGAAATATTTTGCAAGTTTTCACAGTTTCTCGATTTTTCCGCGTTTTGGTATCATGCGAGACACATAAGTTTTTTGCAGAAGAGGTATTCGGAAATTCTGGCGGGAAAGTTTGAAATATTTGCAAGTTTCTCAGTTCCTCGCTTCTAGCGTTTTGTTATCAGGTGAACATAAGGTGCAAAGAGGTATTCCGGAATTCTGGCAAGAGAGTTGAAATATTTACAAGTTTCTCAGTTTCTCGCTTCTCGCGTTTTGTTATCAGGTGAACATAAGGTGCAAAGAGGTATTCGGAATTCTGGCAGGAAAGTTGAAATATATAAAGTTTTTCTCAGTTTCTCGCTTTTCGCGTTTTCGTATCAGGAGAACATAAAGTGCAAAGTGGTATTCGGAATTCTGGCGGGGGAGTTGAAATATATAAAGTTTTCTCAGTTTTCTCGCTTTTCGCGTTTTCGTATCAGGAGAACATAAAGTGCAAAGTGGTATTCGGAATTCTGGCGGGGAAGTTGAAATATATAAAGTTTTCTCAGTTTCTCGCTTTTTCGCGTTTTCGTATCAGGAGAACATAAAGTTCGAAGAGGTATTCGGAATTCTGGCGAGAAAGTTGAAACATTTACTAGTTTTCTCGATTTCTCACTTTTCGCGTTTTCCTATTAGGAGATCATAAGGTGCAAAGAGGTATTCGGAATTCTGGCAGGAAAGTTGAAATATTTGCAAGTCTTCTCAGTTTCTCGCTTTTCGCGTTTTCGTATGAGGAGAACATAAGACGCAAAGAGGTATCCAAATTCAGGAAGGTTGAAATATTTTGCAAGTTTTCTCAGTTTTTCGATTTTCGCGTTTTTGGTATCAGGAGGACATAAGGTGCAAGGAGGTATTCGGAATTCTGGCAGGAAAGTTGAAATATTTGCAAGTTTCTCAATTTCTCGCTTTTTCGCGTTTTCGTATCGGGAGAACATGAAGTGTAAAGAGGTATTCGAAATTCTGGCGGGAAAGTTGAAATATATAAAGTTTTCTCAGTTTCTCGCTTTTCGCGTTTTGTTATCAGGTGAACATAAGGTGCAAAGAGGTATTCGGAATTCTGGCGAGAAAGTTGAAATATTTACAAGTTTCTCAGTTTCTCGCTTTTCGCGTTTTCGTATCAGGAGAACATAAAGTGCGAAGAGGTATTCGGAATTCTGGCGGGAAAGTTGAAATATTTTGCAAGTTTTCTCAGTTTCTCGATTTTCGCGTTTTCGTAATCAGGAGAACATAAAGTGCCAAGTAGTATCCGAAATTCTGGCGGGAAAGTTGAAATATTTTGCAAATTTTCTCAGTTTCTGGCTTTCCGCGTTTTGTTATCAGGTGAACATAAGGTGCAAGGAGGTATTCGGAATTCTGACGGGAATTTAAAAAATTTATAATTTTTCTCGGTTTCACGTTTTGATATCAGGAAAATATGATGGTCGATATATCAGGAAAATATGATGAACGAAAATATGAAGTGACGCAAATAGAGAAATGCTTTTTCATATCTAACGTAATTTTATTCCGTATTGTTCTTTTATTACAATATATTATAGTGACACGCACGCACATATAGGATATTTATAATATGTGATTTATAATATAATGTTACAATGTAACACGATATAAAACAATGCAACGCATATAATATATGGAAATTAAAATTTGATAAAATGGGAATGTAATAAAAGGGATTGGAATGTGTAAATAATGTTGTAATGTGTAATAAATGTAAATAAATTGATGGAAAGATTTAATATTTTGTATGTGTGTATGTGTGTGTGTGTATGTGTTTACATATGTGTAATTTTTATATTAAACGAACAAGGTTTTTAAGGGTCAAGGTTTTTACAAGTTATTAATTGGGTATGTATAAATGTGTGTAAACTGGCGGACATAATAGTAAATGCCCGTTTTTTTGTAACTTTCAAAACGCATCCCGATTCGAGAAGAATGAGGCTCACTGCTTCGCTTGCGGTGCACGCCTGCGCAGTGACTCACAACGAAAGGCGAGAAATTAAATATACGTTGTGGGACATATTGACTTGTGCATTCGTTGCAGCTGATGATTCATCTCGTATATCTCTTTCAGAAGACTTTAAAGTGGAAGTCATATCTTAAAACGATATCTCACGTATCATTTTCACGTTTGGGTGGAAAGGTAAATATTTATAATTATGTTTTATATTGTAGATACTGTGTGTCAAAATATTTCTTGAGAAGAAGAAAGTAGGAAAATGTAATGAAGAAGATATGAAAAGAAGAGCAGAAACGAAGAGAAAAAAGGAAAAGAAGAGAAGAAACGTGAGGAGGAGCCAGAAGAATGTTTAGCCACTCTACATAAAATTGGAGATTGCTGAAAAACAAGCATGTAACTTCATTGTACAAAACTAGAATATAAAAGAAATTGTTTTATTGCAGATATTTACAAAAGATTGGGTATACTGACACAATTATAGATGTACGATCAAACAGAGTGCGATCACTGCTTGGTTTGAATAATAATACGGACTCAGATGAAATGAATACTCCAGCATTAAATGGAAATGAGGGAACACAGAACAGACAAAAATTATCCGATATAAGCTTTATATTCCGGGGGAAACATCCGAAAAAGGTAGAGATAAATAAACATGTTTATGTTTAAAACAATACGAACTTAATTAAGAGAATTAAGCTGCATTACGATAGTTACGATTCTGTTTTACATTTATATGTGATTTATTGTTTCAGCAACAGCCATAGCTTCTATAGCAGAAGCAATGATATTAGATACAGAAGCACATGTTATAGCGAATTTTGAATTTTGGGACATACAGACATGGACATGGAAGAGGAAAGAGTATATGGAGGATAAAATTTATGATGCAAATACGGATACCAAACCAAATACATAGACTGGCTAAACATTCTTCTGTCTCCTCCTCACGTTTTTTCTCTTCTTTTTATTTTTTCTCTTCGTTTCTGCTCTTCTTTTCGTATCTTCTTCATTATATTTTCCTACCTCCTTCTTCTCAAGAAATACTTTGACACACAGTATCTACAACATAAAACATAATTATAGATATTTACCTTTCCACCCAAGCGTAGAAATGATACGTGAGATATCGTTTTAAGATATGACTTCCACTTTAAAGTCTTCTGAAAGAGATGTACGAGATGAATCATCAGCTGCAACGAATACACAAGTCAATATGTCCCACCGCGTATATTTAATTTCTCGCTTTTCGTTGTGAGTCACTGCGCAAGCGTGCTCCGCAGGCGGAGCAGTGACTCTCATTCTTTTCGAGTCGGGGTGCGTTCCGAAAATTGCATAAAAACGGGCACTTACTATTATATCCGTGAATGTACAAAATATAGACACTTTACATATTATAACATAAATAGGTTCTCCGCAATGGCCAAGTTAATAAGGAAATTTTCTACGGCCGGTGCCAAGTTCTTTTCCCTAAATATCTCCACGGATATCATTTTCCTGCCATCTGGAGCTTGCACTGTTGCCAGCGATGTCAGCTGATTCAGGAGATCCTGCGTCTTGTCACTTATCTCGGATATAATTTGCGCCTCTGTATAATTTTGATTTTCACACAACTGGACCATAAACAAGGCTATCTCCTTGTGAGTTTTCGTCATTGTAAGGCTTTCTGGAACATATAATTTGAAAATTATTAACAAAAATAACGATATCAGATGATATCACTCTAATAAATAAGATTTGTTTCTATCTATTCTACCTTTTGCATGTGAAGTCACAGTAATTTCTCTGGCGGGAATATTTACGAATAAATCATACAAATCCGTTCTTGAAGATATCGAGCTATTATTACAGCCTGCGACGTAGTATGGATGTCTCTGTAACAATATAATAAATACAATGCACATTAATAGTACCAATATTATAAAATAGTCTTCTCTTTTTCATATGATACATACCTTTAATTCAGTTAACTCATCGTTTACCAAATCAATCCAAGGAAAAAGATTATCAGTAACCTTTCTATGCCTCATTAATGCGGGAAATGTTCTGATCCACTTGAGGAGTTGCTCCAAGCTATGATGATACACAACAATTCTCTTCTTCAATAGGAGGGCAGTGTATATCAAAATAGTCTCTAATTCAAATGTCTTGATTAGTTCTCTGACATTGGCATTAGCAGCAAAACGATGAGTGTTAAAGTCATCAGAGACAAAAGTCCCATTCTCCTGTGTTGAGCATGATCCTTTGGTAAATACAGAAAGATAAAGTTGCAAGATTTCTGTCGGCTTTCCAGTCTTGCAATACATTTTGCTGAGAACTCTTGAAAGTACTTCATACTTTTGTGGATTAAAGTCCTTTGCAAACAGTACCAATGCAAACTGTTTTACCTGAAAATAATTATACAGGCTGGAGTTAGTGTCCCAAACATGTAAGAAAATAATTTTCCGATGAAAGAATAAAAGTTTGCAAGTGCATACTTTTGGCAACTTATCGGAATCAAATACTTCACTGCAATATATGTAAAACCAATCATGACCATGCCTGGCGCATACAAATACATGAGGAGAGTTGTGCTCTAATTTCAAATTACATTTCCTCATAACTACTGTCTTCTGAGATTCCGTCACAGCTGGATATGACCATGTCCATAAGACATCTCCATTGCAGTCTTTCTCTGTAATGTTTATTCTACACTATAGCATAGTGCAAATAGTCAGAACAGTGTCTAGACAAAAAAGGTACTACAGAGGAAATATTTGGGTTACTGCAATTAATTATTTTCATCTCGAAAATTACCTATTATACTACAAGAAAGTAAATCTGTTAGTGGTGCCATTGCGACTCTCTTTGACAAATGATTAACAATTACAATACCCTGTCAGGAACAAATCATTCCTTACATTTTATGTATTAATAACGGAACTTATAATTCATTATATTTCTCGTCATGTCGAATATTTCACACTTATAGAAATACAAATATTATTAACCAAACAACACATCAAACATCAAACATTGTCATACTGCAAACAAACAGGAGGTTATTTGAGGAGGTTATGTACAGTGCCGATGACACTTGTAGGCTTTAACGTTAGCGACATCTCTCGTGAACTTTGCAATTCACGTGGAAAGAATCAATTTTTCAGTGAAAAAATTGTTATTACTTTATTTATAAATTATTATTTCTGAAAAGTTACTTGTATGCACAAGAACAACAAAGTCAACAATTATCGGAAGGCAATTTTTTATTTCCTTTGCTGTCGTACCGCACTCGAGCAATACGCTTATTTAAAATTATTTTCAAAATGCTTCCTCAACAAAAAATTATCCTTAACAAAAAGTTTTCTTAACAGGAAGAATTCCTTTTTAGATCTGTTAAAGCACATGTATGTGTGTGTGTGTGTGTGTAACTGTCCGCAGTACTACATTTTTCTACTAAGAATAAAGTTTTCAACTTACGTTGCAGACTTTGAAAAATAAAATCACTCTTGTATATTACATAATGATCCCCATGTATAATTTCACGGCGCGACAGATACGCGGAAGTTAATCTTAATTAGATAACATGTCTGTAAAACACACCTTACATTACTTTATAAAATAGGAATGACATAGTCGTCCGCGACAATCTTGCAACATCAATTGACGATTGATCAATCTTTTGAGCTCGCTCGGACGCTGTCCACGCACGATCAGTTTGCGCAAATCGGCGTTGCGTAAAACTAACGTTATATCATAACAGCCGAGATTGGTCGATACACAGCCCGATATCAGTGCCAAAACCTTCGTCCCTCAGACTGCTTGGTCGTGTCGAATTTGAAGCGTATAATACTAATTGCAAATTATTCTAAGCAATTCGCAGCTGCTAATTATCGCGCGTATATATGTTTATTTACAAAAAGAAAAAAAAAATATATATATATATATACACAGATTCATCGTTTTGTTACCGATACGTCATCGTTGAATTGAATTCAATCAGAAGGAGCACCGTGTACTTTTCGTACGCTGCTCCAGTTCAATACTGATGTACTCAGGGAAAACAGAAGATCATGATAACATCAAAATGACGAGAAAATGATCGAATCATGATGGAAAAGTGAGTTTTCCTCATCATTTTGACGTCATTTTGATGTCATCATGATTTTCTGTTCTGCCTGGGTATCTTCAATTGCTTCGCTTCAAATCAATTGATCATCTTCAATGAGCAAATGGCCAATTGGCTGTCGGGAGCCTTGCCGAAAGGCTTGTTGCCGTCGGGTGCCTCGTACTTGTTCACTTGATACGTCAACATGGTCTCGTAGCCATACACGTCTGTACCGAGTTGCTGTGAAGATTCGTCAAGATCGATTTGTAGAAGAAAAGAAAGAAACATAAAGTGAGACCTCAGCATGCTGGATGCGAGATCAATTACCTGTGTGAGCGGGCTGGTGTTGGTCGTGAAGATGCCTACGTACTTCTTCCGCTTGACGAGCTCCAAGCAGTGCTCTTCCATCTGCCTCATTATGAGCACGTTCTGCGCCGCGTTCAGCTCGCTGCTGGTCGACATCATAAAGTTGTGAATAATCTGGCCTTTACCCTTGGGCAATCTGTTCTCTCTGATCGGCCCTTCCAGGTACTCGAGAAAGTCAAAGACGACTGTCAACTTGGAGTTCAGCACCACCTCGGGCTCGTCCCAGAGATCAAAGTTGAGAGTGATCCCGATCGTTTTGCCGGTCTGCGCCGACTTCACGGCGAAACTCAAGCTCTTCTCCACGAGCGGCCGCCACGTGGAGTCAATCAGATCCCGGTAATCGGCTCTCGTGATGTCCGGCATCAACCACTGCTCCAAATCGGCTTTCGAGTAAAAGCTCTCCGTGATTATTCTGCAAATTCGAGCGCGCGGCGTCACATTTACGAGCCATACGTGCTGTACGTGTCACTTGCAAAGCCTTTTCGCGCAACAACTTACTCGATCGCGTCGTCCTTGTGGCGGTCGTGCAACGGCTCGTAGATATACGACTCCTGATCGATGCTCTCGTTCAGCGGCTCCTCCACGCTGGAGATAAGCTTCATGCGGCCCAGCATGTCGGTCAGACTCTTGGCCGTGATGAAGTCCGTGATGCCGATCTGGTAACCCTGGTCGCGCAGCTTGGTCACCGTGTAGATGGAATTCAACGAGTTCCCGCCGAGCTCGTAGAAATTCGCGTGCGACGTCACCGTTGCACGGCCGTTGAGGCCGTTGAGGCCGATTACGGACGCGACGGTCGGGAAGAGAACACGGGCCTTCGCAAGGTCTTGGCTCGGCACGTCGCTGTAATCGCACTTGGCGGCCACCTCGTCTTCTGCGGGGGATAAACAAATAAATAAGCGAATGTATGCTAACGACGATGGGCGATAAGCGATGGCAAGGGACAGCGGCTAATTAGAAAATCGGAGAAACCGGTCGTCCTCAGGTTCACGCATGCATTTGCTATTCGATTTCACGGTGATCCGCCGGCGATCGTGTAACATGCGCGGCATTTCGCCGCGCATCGAGCGGTCGCCGTTTGGGTATGTTAATGCGATCGTCGGTCGTCGCTTGATACTCCTCTCGCCGACTAACGACGAATGTCCGCAATGGCGGGATGGCTCACAGTCGTTGGGGCAAGACGCCTCGTACTGCTTCAGCAACGTCTGCCGATCCGTCTTGCCGTTGGTCAGCAGGGGTATGCGATCGACGACGATGATTTGCGGCAGCATGTACGGCGATAGCGTTCTTTGCAGGAGATGCTCGACCTCCGAGCTAGACAGGTTCGCGCCGCCCACGATGCTAATGAAGGCTACCAGCGCCTGGAAATTCAAGGAGAGGGCTTCCATTAGTCCGACATTAAAAGTCAGAGTTGCGGCGCAGCTGGCCGCGTATCAGCAAATATATAAATTATATATTATTGTACACGCGCGATGTAAATTGAAATTTTGCATGCCCGTGGCATGACCGAAGGAGAGAAGAAAATGAACTCCCTCCGTTCGGTCATGGCCGTGGTTACTCTCGTCGTGCCTGCGCGACAACAGCGTTGTTTATCCAGCGTAGTAGAATTTGTGCGCAATCATTCCAACGTTGTGGAAATTTCGCGCGCTGAAAAATCGCCTTCATCCCGTGTACCTGCGACAGCTCGCCGGGTTTGTAGCAGAGACCCATGACCTTGTCAACGCCGGGTATCCTGGCGAAAAAAGTTTTCCATCCTTTCTCCGTCGATATCTCGGCTTCTACTGGGAGTAGAGAGTCGCCATTTACGGCAAAATGTAGGGTTTTGAGAGGAATTTAATTTGGTGCCAGAACCAGGCCTGTATCTCTAACCGTTTAGGAGATATCGAAGGTTAAAGTTTTCCAGCCTTTGTCCGTCGATATCCAGCCTTCCTCCGTCGATATCTCCGCTTCTACTGGGAGTAGAGAGTCGTCCATGTAGTCGAAAATGTAGGGTTTTGAGAGGACTTTAATTTGGTACCAGAACCAGGCCTGTATTTCTAACCGTTTAGGAGATATCGAAGGTTAAAGTTTTCCAACTTTTCTCCGTTGATATCTCCGCTTCTACTGGGAGTAGAGAGTCGCCATTTACGGCAAAATGTAGGGTTTTGAAAGGACTTTAATTTGGTACCAGAGCCAGGCCTGTATCTCTAACCGTTTAGGAGATATCGAAGGTTAAAGTTTTCCAGCCATTCTCCGTCGATATCCAGCCTTCCTCCGTCGACATCTCCGCTTCTACTGGGAGTAGAGAGTCGTCCATGTAGTCGAAAATGTAGGGTTTTGAGAGGACTTTAATTTGGTACCAGAGCCAGGCCTGTATCTCTAACCGTTTAGGAGATATCGAAGATTAAAGTTTTCCAAACTTTCTCCGTCGATATCCAGCCTTCCTCCGCCGATATCTCCGCTTCTACTTGGAGTAGAGAGTCGCCATTGTAGTCGAAAATGTGGGGTTTTGAAAAGACCTCATTTTGGTACCAGAGCCAGGCCTGTATCTCTAACCGTTTAGGAGATATCGAACATTAAACTTTTCCAACCTTTCTCCGTCGATATCCAGCCTTTCTCCGTCGATATCTCCGCTCCTACTTGGAGTAGAGAGTCGCCATTGTAGTCGAAAATGTAGGGTTTTGAAAGGACTTCATTTTGGTACCAGAGCCAGGCCTGTATCTCTAACCGTTTAGGAGATATCGAACATTAAAGTTTTCCAACATTTCTCCGTTGATATCTCCGCTTCTACTGGGAGTATAGAGTCGCCATTTACGGCAAAATGTAGGGTTATGAAAGGACTTTAATTTGTTACCAGAGCCAGGCCTGTATCTCTAACCGTTCAGGAGATATCGAAGGTTAAAGTTTTCCAGCCATTCTCCGTCGATATCCAGCATTCTTCCGTCGATATCTCCGCTTCTACTTGGAGTAGAGAGTCGCCATTGTAGTCGAAAATGTGGGGTTTTGAAAGGACTTCATTTTGGTACCAGAGCCAGGCCTGTATCTCTAACCGTTTAGGAGATATCGAACATTAAACTTTTCCAACCTTTCTCCGTCGATATCCAGCCTTTCTCCGTCGATATCTCCGCTTCTACTTGGAGTAGAGGGTCGCCATTGTAGTCGAAAATGTAGGGTTTTGAAAGGACTTCATTTTGGTACCAGACCCAGGCCTGTATCTCTAACCGTTTAGGAGATATCGAACATTAAGCTGGAGATATCGACGGAGAAAGGTTGGGAGAAAAATTTTATTGGAGTAGAGAGTCGGCATTGTAGTCGAAAATGTAGAGTTTTGAAAGGACTTCATTTTGGTAACAGAGCCAGGCCAGTATCTCTAAACGTTTAGGAGATATCGAAATTAAATTTTCCACCTTTCTCCATCGATATCATCTCTCCGTCGACTCCGCTTCTACTGGGAGTAGAGAGTGGCCATTGTAGTTGAAAATGTAGGGTTTTGAAAGGACTTCATTATGGTACCAGAGCCAGGCCTGTATCTCTAACCGTTTAGGAGATATCGAACATTAAAGTTTTCCAACCTTTCTCCATTGATATCTCCGCTTCTACTGGGAGTAGAGAGTCGGCATTGTAGTCGAAAATGTAGAGATACAGGCCTGGCTCTGGTACCAAAATGAAGTCCTTTCAAAACCCTACATTTTCGACTACATGGCGTCTCTACTCCCAGTAGAAGCGGAGGTATCGACGGAGGAAGGCTGGATTTCGACGGAGAAAGGCTGAAAACTTTAACCTTCGATATCTCCTAAACGGTTAGAGATACAGGCTTCGGACAGGTACCAAATTAAAGCCCTTTCAAAACCCTACATTTTGGACTACATGGACGACCCTCTACTCCCAGTAGAAGCGGAGATATCGACGGATGAAGGATGGATATCGACGGAGAAAGGTTGGAAAACTTTAACCTTCGATATCTCCTAAACGGTTAGAGATACAGGCTTCGGACAGGTACCAAATTAAAGCCCTTTCAAAACCCTACATTTTGGACTACATGGACGACTCTCTACTCCCAGTAGAAGCGGAGATATCGACGGATGAAGATGGATATCGACGGAGAAAGGTTGGAAAACTTTAACCTTCGATATCTCCTAAACGGTTAGAGATACAGGCTTCGGACAGGTACCAAATTAAAGCCCTTTCAAAACCCTACATTTTGCGACTACATGGACGACTCTCTACTCCCAGTGAGGAAAGCGGGAGATATCGACGGAGAAAGGTTGGAAAACTTTAACCTTCGATATCTCCTAAACGGTTAGAGATACAGGCTTCGGACAGGTACCAAATTAAAGCCCTTTCAAAACCCTACATTTTGGACTACAATGACGACCCTCTACTCCCAATAGAAGCGGAGATATCGACGGATGAAGCTGGATATCGACGGAGAAAGGTTGGAAAACTTTAACCTTCGATATCTCCTAAACGGTTAGAGATACAGGCTTCGGACAGGTACCAAATTAAAGCCCTTTCAAAACCCTACATTTTGACTACAATGGACGACTCTCTACTCCCATAGAAGCGGAGATATCGACGGATGAAGCTGATATCGACGGAGAAAGGTTGAAAACTTTAACCTTCGATATCTCCTAAACGGTTAGAGATACAGGCTTCGGACAGGTACCAAATTAAAGCCCTTTCAAAACCCTACATTTTGGACTACATGGACGACTCTTACTCCCATAGAAGCGGAGATATCGACGAGAAAGCTGATATCGACGGAGAAAGGTTGAAAACTTTAACCTTCGATATCTCCTAAACGGTTAGAGATACAGGCTTCGGACAGGTACCAAATAAAGCCCTTTCAAAACCCTACATTTTGGACTACATGGACGACCCTCTACTCCCAATAGAAGCGGAGATATCGACGGATGAAGGCTGGATATCGACGGAGAAAGGTTAGGAAAACTTTAACCTTCGATATCTCCTAAACGGTTAGAGATACAGGCTTCGGACAGGTACCAAATTAAAGCCCTTTCAAAACCCTACATTTTGGACTACATGGACGACCCTCTACTCCCAATAGAAGCGGAGATATCGACGGATGAAGGCTGGATATCGACGGAGAAAGGTTAGAAAACTTTAACCTTCGATATCTCCTAAACGGTTAGAGATACAGGCTTCGGACAGGTACCAAATTAAAGCCCTTTCAAAACCCTACATTTTGGACTACAATGACGACCCTCTACTCCCAATAGAAGCGGAGATATCGACGGATGAAGGCTGGATATCGACGGAGAAAGGTTAGAAAACTTTAACCTTCGATATCTCCTAAACGGTTAGAGATACAGGCTTCGGACAGGTACCAAATTAAAGCCCTTTCAAAACCCTACATTTTGGACTACAATGACGACCCTCTACTCCCAATAGAAGCGGAGATATCGACGGATGAAGGCTGGATATCGACGGAGAAAGGTTAGAAAACTTTAACCTTCGATATCTCCTAAACGGTTAGAGATACAGGCTTCGGACAGGTACCAAATTAAAGCCCTTTCAAAACCCTACATTTTGGACTACAATGACGACCCTCTACTCCCAATAGAAGCGGAGATATCGACGGATGAAGGCTGGATATCGACGGAGAAAGGTTAGAAAACTTTAACCTTCGATATCTCCTAAACGGTTAGAGATACAGGCTTCGGACAGGTACCAAATTAAAGCCCTTTCAAAACCCTACATTTTGGACTACAATGACGACCCTCTACTCCCAATAGAAGCGGAGATATCGACGGATGAAGGCTGGATATCGACGGAGAAAGGTTAGAAAACTTTAACCTTCGATATCTCCTAAACGGTTAGAGATACAGGCTTCGGACAGGTACCAAATTAAAGCCCTTTCAAAACCCTACATTTTGGACTACAATGACGACCCTCTACTCCCAATAGAAGCGGAGATATCGACGGATGAAGGCTGGATATCGACGGAGAAAGGTTAGAAAACTTTAACCTTCGATATCTCCTAAACGGTTAGAGATACAGGCTTCGGACAGGTACCAAATTAAAGCCCTTTCAAAACCCTACATTTTGGACTACAATGACGACCCTCTACTCCCAATAGAAGCGGAGATATCGACGGATGAAGGCTGGATATCGACGGAGAAAGGTTAGAAAACTTTAACCTTCGATATCTCCTAAACGGTTAGAGATACAGGCTTCGGACAGGTACCAAATTAAAGCCCTTTCAAAACCCTACATTTTGGACTACAATGACGACCCTCTACTCCCAATAGAAGCGGAGATATCGACGGATGAAGGCTGGATATCGACGGAGAAAGGTTAGAAAACTTTAACCTTCGATATCTCCTAAACGGTTAGAGATACAGGCTTCGGACAGGTACCAAATTAAAGCCCTTTCAAAACCCTACATTTTGGACTACAATGACGACCCTCTACTCCCAATAGAAGCGGAGATATCGACGGATGAAGGCTGGATATCGACGGAGAAAGGTTAGAAAACTTTAACCTTCGATATCTCCTAAACGGTTAGAGATACAGGCTTCGGACAGGTACCAAATTAAAGCCCTTTCAAAACCCTACATTTTGGACTACAATGACGACCCTCTACTCCCAATAGAAGCGGAGATATCGACGGATGAAGGCTGGATATCGACGGAGAAAGGTTAGAAAACTTTAACCTTCGATATCTCCTAAACGGTTAGAGATACAGGCTTCGGACAGGTACCAAATTAAAGCCCTTTCAAAACCCTACATTTTGGACTACAATGACGACCCTCTACTCCCAATAGAAGCGGAGATATCGACGGATGAAGGCTGGATATCGACGGAGAAAGGTTAGAAAACTTTAACCTTCGATATCTCCTAAACGGTTAGAGATACAGGCTTCGGACAGGTACCAAATTAAAGCCCTTTCAAAACCCTACATTTTGGACTACAATGACGACCCTCTACTCCCAATAGAAGCGGAGATATCGACGGATGAAGGCTGGATATCGACGGAGAAAGGTTAGAAAACTTTAACCTTCGATATCTCCTAAACGGTTAGAGATACAGGCTTCGGACAGGTACCAAATTAAAGCCCTTTCAAAACCCTACATTTTGGACTACAATGACGACCCTCTACTCCCAATAGAAGCGGAGATATCGACGGATGAAGGCTGGATATCGACGGAGAAAGGTTAGAAAACTTTAACCTTCGATATCTCCTAAACGGTTAGAGATACAGGCTTCGGACAGGTACCAAATTAAAGCCCTTTCAAAACCCTACATTTTGGACTACAATGACGACCCTCTACTCCCAATAGAAGCGGAGATATCGACGGATGAAGGCTGGATATCGACGGAGAAAGGTTAGAAAACTTTAACCTTCGATATCTCCTAAACGGTTAGAGATACAGGCTTCGGACAGGTACCAAATTAAAGCCCTTTCAAAACCCTACATTTTGGACTACAATGACGACCCTCTACTCCCAATAGAAGCGGAGATATCGACGGATGAAGGCTGGATATCGACGGAGAAAGGTTAGAAAACTTTAACCTTCGATATCTCCTAAACGGTTAGAGATACAGGCTTCGGACAGGTACCAAATTAAAGCCCTTTCAAAACCCTACATTTTGGACTACAATGACGACCCTCTACTCCCAATAGAAGCGGAGATAT